GCATACCTCGGAGTCACCCTCTATCTAGTTTCTATTTCATTCTCTTTTTTAGATACTGTTGTATAGGGATGTCTCAGTATATTCGTGTAGAGCTTGTGACTCAGTATCACCAGATTTTGGGTGTTATGTTTAGTCGTATTGCAAAGTCCTTTTTATGATAGCTTTGGTTTAATTGGGAGTTTTATTGTTATTTTCGTTAATTCTGCATGTATGTTAGGCTTACCAAGTCTTAAAGACTAGGTGCCATCACGACATCCTACGGAGGGAGATTGGGGTCATGACAAGTTGGTATCAGAGCTCTGGGTTCATAGGTGTTATGAGTCATAAGTAGGTTTAGTAGAGTCTCGCGGATCGGCACATAGACATCTGTATTTATCTTCAAGAGGCTATAGAACTGTTAGGAAACTTCACTTCTTTGATTCCTTATCGAGCGAATTTGGTGACTCCAAAATTCTAAATTTTTTTCTTTCCATGCTCTCATAGATGGTGAGGACACGCACTGCTGGATCTAACGATCAGACACCCATTCCCCCAGCTAGAGCTGCGAGAGGCCGGGGCTGGGGCAGAGGCCAATGAGGGGCACGTGGTATAGCCAGAGCATTTGCTTGAGCTGCGACAGAGGAGCCACCAGTAGCTCCAGTTGGGGGGGCAGGAACCTGAGGCGCCTATTGCTGCCCCTGCACTTTAGGAGACCCTCGTCCAGTTCTTGAGTATGCTTGGTACTGTAGCTCTGGCGGGGTTGATTCTACTTGCACCAGCCACATCTCAGGCTGGGGGAGGAGCTCCCGCGGCCCTTATCCCAGAGCAGCGGGTCCATGTTGACCAGGTCCCAGAGGTTATACCAGTGCATCCGGTCATTCCAGTTCAGCCCAAGGTTAGGGCAGCAACATCTGAGGAGGAGCAGCTTAGACTTGAGAGGTACAAGAAGTTCCACCCTCCTATTTTTAGCGGCCTAGCTACAGAGGATGCACAAGGTTTTCTGGAGAAATGCCACCGTATTCTCCGTACCATGGGTATTGTGGAGACGAGTGGGGTTGATTTTATTACATTCAAGATGTCGGGACCAATGTACCAGTGGTGGAGGGCTTAAGAGAAGGGTAGCCCAGCCGATGTAGCTTCACTCACATGGGCTCTATTTTCAGAGATGTTCTTGAGAGAGTTTGTTCCCCAGAGCCTTGGGGATACATGGCGTGCGGAGTTTGAGCTGTTGCACCAGGGTACTATGACCGTGTCAGAATATGCTATCAGATTCGGTGAGTTGTCCAGACATAAATTTGCCTTGGTTTCCACAGTCAGAGGGCGAGTCTATCAATTTATCGAGAGGCTCAACTATGGTATTAGATTCAGCATGGCTCGAGAGTTGGAGACAGATACCCTATATCAGTAGGTGGTAGAGATCGCACGGAGATTGGAGGGTATGTAGGGCCGGGAAAGAGAGGATAGGGAGGCCAAAAGGCCTCAAGATTTTGGCGGATATAGTGGTGCCCATGCCTCAGTTGCAACCTATCATAGTAGAGGCTATGTGAGTCGTCTAGTTCATTCAGCACTTCTAGCTTCTAGTGGTACTCCGGCTACTCCCAGGTCTCACATTGCCCATTATGCACTGCCACTGTCTAGTGCACCTCCTGCACGGGGTGCTTTAAGCTGTCAGTCCAGCCGACCAGGCCCGAGCTAGTTTCAACAACCATATCCTCCGAGAGCTTATTTTGAGTGTGGTGATACTCATCTGGTGAGGGATTTTCCCAGACTCAGGAGGGGTGCACCTACACAGTCTACTTAGGCTCCACGTATTCCACTAGGTCCAGAGACTTCTCAGGTCGTGGTTACCGCTCCAGTTTTTGCTCCACCTGTACAGCCAACTAGGGGTGGAGGTCAGGCGGGTACAGGTCGCCCTAGAGGGAGAGGCCATGCTCAATGTTATGCTTTTATAGGTAGGACGGAGGCAGTTGCATCTGACGTAATTATCAAAAGTATTTTTCCAGTTTGTCATAGAGATGCATTCATCTTATTTGATCCAGGCTCCACTTATTCATATGTATCATCTTACTTTGCTCCATATTTAGGTATATCTCTTGATTCTTTGAGTTATCTTGTTTATGTGTCCACGCATATGGGAGATTCTATTGTTGTTGACCGTGTGTATTGATCGTGTTTAGTTGTCATTGGTGGTTTTGAGGCCAGAGTTGATCTATAGTTGCTTCGTATAGTAGACTTTAATGTTATCTTGAGCATGGACTGGCTGTCACCCTATCATGCTATTCTAGATTGTCACACCAAGACGTCGATGTTGGCTATGCTAGGTGTATCACGGTTGGAGTGGAGGAGTACTTTGGATTATGTTCCTAGTAGGGTTGTGTGATGCATCTCTAGCCTTTGTGAGAGATGTCAGTATTGATACTTTTATCGTTTAGTCAGTTTCGATAGTGAGCACTATCCAGACGTATTTCGGGCAGATCTTTAAGGCATGCCGCCTGATGGTGATATTGATTTTGGTATTGACTTGTTGCCAGGCACTCAGCCCATTTCTATTCCACCATATCGTATGGCCCCAGCGGAGTTGAAGGAGTTAAAGGAGCAGTTGGAATAGTTGCTTGACAAGGGTTTCATTCGGCCTAGTGTGTCACCTTGGGGTACTCCGGTCTTGTTTGTGAAGAAGATGGATGGTTCTATGCGCATGTGTATTGACTATCGGCAGTTGAACAAGGTTATAGTGAAGAACATATATCCATTGCCACACATTGATGACTTATTTGATCAGCTACATGGTGTTAGGGTGTTCTCAAAGATTAATTTGGGGTCAGTGTATCATCAGCTGGAGATTAGGGATCCGGATATACCAAAGATTGCTTTCAGGACTCGGTATGGTCACTACGTGTTCCTTGTGATGTCATTTGGGATGACCAATGCCCCAGCAATATTCATGCATCTGATGAACAACGTATTCCAGCCCTATCTTGATTCATTTGTCATTATGTTTATTGACGGCATCTTGGTGTACTCCCGCAGCCGGAAGGATCATGAGCACCATTTGAGGATTGTGCTCCAGACCTTAAGAGAAAAAAAATTGTATGAAAAATTTTTAAAGTGTAAATTCTGGCTTGCTTCGGTGGCGTTTTTGCATCATGTGTTATCGAGTGAGGGATTCAAGGTAGACCCGAATAAGAATAAAGCAGTGTAGAGTTGGCCCAGACCGTCTTTAGCTACTGAGATCCGGAGTTTTCTTGGTTTGCCCGGGTATTACCGTTGTTTTGTAGAGGGTTTCTCATCTATTGCTACATCTATGACTATATTGACCCAAAAAGGTTCTCCGTTCAGATAGACCAAGGAGTGTGAGGAGAGCTTTTAAAATCTGAAAACTGCCTTGACTACAACCCCATGTTGGTGTTTCTTACCGGTTCGGGGTCTTACACTGTGTACTGTGATGCGTCACGTGTTGGCCATGGCGCGGTGTTGATACAAGACGGTAGGGTGATTGCCTACGCATATAGACAGCTGAAGGTTCATGAGAAAATATTTCCTGTCCACGATCTGGAATTAGCAACTATTGTTCATACCTTGAAGATTTGGCGTCACTATTTATACGGTGTTCCTTGTGAGGTTTTACACCGACCACCGGAGTCTACATCATCTGTTCAAATAGAAAGATCTTAACTTGCAGTAGCGAAGATGGTTAGAGTTGCTTAAGGACTATGTGTCACCATTCTTTATCATCCCGGGAAGGCCAATGTGGTGGCCGATGCCTTGAGTCGAAAGGCGGAGAGTTTGGCTAGTTTAGCATATCTACCGGCACCAGAGAGGCCATTAGCATTGGATGTTCAGGACTTAGCCTACCAGTTTGTTAGATTGGATATTTCAGATCCTAGTCGAGTTCTCGACTGCGTGGTTTCTCAGTCTTTTTTATATGATTGCATAAGAGAGTGTCAGTATGACAACCCCCATTTGCTTGTCCTTAAGGACACTGTACAACACGACGATGCCAAGGAGGTTTCTATCGGAGATGACGGTGTGTTGGGGATGCAGGGCCGGTTATGAGTGCCCAATGTGGATGGTTTGCGTGAGTTGATTGTTTAGGAGGCCCACATTTTACGGTACTCCATTCGTCCGGGTGCTACTAAGATGTATCAGGATTTGAGGCAAAACTATTGGTGGAGGAGAATGAAGAAGGAAATAGTTGAGTATGTTGCTCGGTGCCTTGGCATTCTTATTATGTATTTCCTTTCGTGATGTCTTAACTGCCTAAATTTCAGTGTAGCTATTCCTGTTATATTTCTTCATTGTATCCTTTCTATTGTTTCCATTATTATACTGTACTAAACCTGTTCGATTTCTTTATTTATTCCAATAGGTGTCTTGACTTGACCTCGTCACTACTCTACCGAGGTTAGGCTTGATACTTACTGGGTACCATTGTGGTGTACTCATACTATGATTCTGCACATTTTTGTGCAGATTCAGGTACTTCATACCAGGCTAGGCACCCGTGAGAGAGCTTGGATCGGAGACTTCAAGGTATACCTGCCGGCACTCGCATGCCTCGGAGTTACTCTCTATCTAGTTTCTATTTTATTCTCTTTTTTAGATATTGTTGCATAGGGATGTCTCAATATACTCGTGTAGAGCTTGTGACTCGGTATCACCAGATTTTGGGTGTTATGTTCAGCCATATTGCGGAGTCCTTTTTATGATAACTTTTGTTTAATTAGGAGTTTTATTATTATTTCCGTTAATTTTGCATGTATGTTAGGCTTACCTAGTTTTAGAGATTAGGTTCCATCACAACATTCTACGGAAGGAGATTGGGGTCTTGACAACGGTACCATTTGGCAAGCCAACAAATTTAATCAACATGACGATAGGCAATTCATAACACATTTTAAACCAATGGTTAAATAATTAAGTGAAATTTCTCTATCTTTATAAAATTACTAACATTATATTCAAGATTTGAATATGATAACCTGTAATACTGAATGTCGTAAAAGAAATATATACAAGAATAGTAGTCTAAACCCCAAAACTCGGTGTTACAAGTACATGCGCATCTAATAGAGTGTACAATACCACTATAACAACTGTTTGGATTAGAAAATAGACATAATATAGTAAATGAGTAAGACAAGTTCTCCGTGTGTTGCATATCGTAACATAGAGAGCAGCTCACCACAAAGTCTCCTAAGCAACTGCGCCTACGCGCGTAGATGACCACCAAATATACATGTCTTAGTACCTACACAACAAGTGCAGAAGTATAGTGTGAGTACATAAATCAATGAATACCCAATAAGTATGTAGTCTAACCTCAAATAGGTAGTGATGAGGGGTCGACACCGACACTTACTAGTGGTCCAATAATCATAGTACAATAAAGGTAGACAGGAATGAAGCATGGAAAGTAAAATTAGTGACAAAAAGATATATGTACATAACATGATCCTCAACAAAAGAGTAAATACAAAAGCCTCGAATATCGAATACTACCTCGAATGGAATATATGTAAGGTCACTAACCAATAAATATCATGTCTCAAGTCAGATAGATTCATAGATATGCTTGTTGTACCCTATTTTGCACAGGTCAAAACAAAATATAACTTGTGGTTTCCTTGAAGTTGATAAACGAAGAGTTGTTACCTAATATTTAAGTTATACTAAGGTACCTATAGGCCTGTAAAGATCATTATCCCAATGGTCCACTAAATTAAGAAATCGTGCAAAGGTTCTAGTTATTCTAAGGGGATGGTGTTAGGCATCCCTTAAAATCTATATGAAATAGTTCCTTAAACTTAGGCTAGATATGGGGACAGAATTATATATATTCTAGTCCATTAATGATTAAAGTTACTAAACGGGTTTATGTGAAAGTCTTGACTAAGTGAAAAAAATATTTTTATTCCTATCGAAACTCATTTGTTTTGAGAAAAAGATTTATAACTTTTTAGAAATAACGGTATTTGTTTCAAAAGTATGTGGTAAGGTTGCAAAAAGGGTTTATTTAAAACATGGGTCTATGTTAACACTTTATATGCCTCAGAAAATATACTTTATCTGTTTCTTTGAAAGCTATTTGGGTATGAATCAAAGCGTTTTCCTAAAGCTATTTATTTATTTCTTTGTAAAATCCAATTCGGGCTTTGTATTGCACTGTTTCCTCTTTTGTCCAAAAATATTAGATGTCGAGTTTGCCTAAGTGATCTGTTTGAAATTTATTTTTCTAAAAAATATTGTTTCTGCATAATCCATTCAGATTCTGTAGATTCCTAAACAAACGAAAACTCGTTAATGAAGAGTAAGTAAATGAAAGAAAATTAATTGATAGACAGTTAGTTCGAATTCCTGAAATTGTTAAGCCTCCTAAAGCAAGTAACCTTCTCAATCAAGATTATCTTTTATCTTTACTAGATTTAACTCCCTAGGGTCTTTCTTAAACAATCACAACAAAGCAAATAAAGACAAAATATCACGTTAGTTGAATTTAAAGAAAAGGGGAAATGATTAGACTCTCTTGTTGGGCTGACAATTCGTCAGGCCCAACCAAATTCAAGCAGAAGCAGACTTCAAGCGAAAAAAAGAAAATCAATTAGTAAGTTCCAATAAAGAGTGAAGAAAAAAATAATGACAATAAATATAAGCATGATTTAAAATATAGCAAAGCTAAATTTGATTTGTGATAATCCCCTAAAGATTAATCAAGGTCAATAACTATAGGCTTAAAGTGAACCATATTCACTTACAAGGTTCCCTTCATGGACCCTGACACTTCAGATTTCACAAGGATCTCTTGGACCTCGAGCAGTGTTTGTGTAAGGGAAGGGTCCTTTGATAGTAAAATTAAGTCCACGTCAAATACCGCAGCTATTGAACCTTGTAATTGGGGTTTAGACTCAAGAACCATGACTTAGCACTTAACCAAATAGGTTAGCCAGGCAGCCCCATACATTCAACATGAGACAAACTATCAATAACATAGAAGGTCTAATATGATACCTTAATTCATCTAAGCATGATATATTTCAAGAATTTAGTCAAACAAAGGTACAAATAATTTCAGGACAATACAAGACTTGTTAGCAAACAATTATTCTACGAATTGAAACAATCACTTTAGTAAAATACCATAAATGATCAGGGACTAACACATGACTTAGTTTGAAACAATCTTTAGTAAGTGATCACTATCAAAATGTGTGATGTAGGGACATATCACAACATATAAGCTCTCAAAGTTCCTAGTAGTTTCAAAGGTTTAAAAGTCAAATCAGAACCATTCCACATGTTATAACATCTATACAACGTTCTTGGGGATCATTGCTCCAAACATAATATGAGCATACTTGCTATGTTATAGATAACTTTAATTTCTAGAATGTCACTCTAGGTGGTTTAAGGCATCAGCTGGAGTTAGCAAAAAACAAACACATACATTCACTTACTGAGTTTTCATCATAGGTCTACTATTTCATAAGGCTACAACAATAACAACATATACCTTTTTACAATCAGCGAGTCTATGACATTTATGCTAGAAACCTTGAAGAAATTAAACAGCTTAGGGCAGTCATTTAAAGATAAAAAGATACACCAACCAAGAGAAACAAATCATGATTAAACTCCAATGGACATTAAGCAGTCTAGATTAATTACTTTAGACCTGTAACTAACTCCACCAAAGTTAGGCCAATCAGAAAAGATAACAAAGCTATTAATCAGAACAAAATAATCAGGTTTTAATATTAAGGTCAAAGCTACAAGCATGGTATCTACAACCATAACAATCAGTAGAAGCAGCATGCGTGATTTCACCAATCCAAAATAGGATTACTAAACATATGAGGACCAGTATTCAAGTTTGATCCAAAATAGGATTTCACCAAAATATATTTTGTTTAAACAAATAACATAGGAGAAAAACATAATTATTAACGGAAAACGTCAATTAGTCAATTGGAAACCAATAAAAGTGGCAGAACATAGATTAAAGTAACATGCTTGACTAACGAATATCATGAAGGGGAGTAGGCAGACGATCAACAGAAAATATTAGATAATCAAATGAAAACAACATGAGAGAACTATATGACAAATCTAATTGATTAACGTAAAACTCTGCTGACCTTATTTGGAGCAGCAAACCAAGTAGCTATGCTTAGCCGTTTAAGGTGCAGTACTCACCATAAATATTTAGCATTTTAACTCATATAGAAAAAAAAAAGAAGTTTAGAGGGATTCATTGAATACTTAAAGAAAATAGGATATGAGAAATTACTAAGATTTTTATGATAGTTGTGTGTGTTGGTGAGGGCATTAAAGCCCAGTATTTATAGCTAAGATTGAGACCTTAGGGGTTTCATTCAAATTTGAAAAATCAGTGAAAGATGATGATGATGAACACTGACGAAATCAAAAGGGGAAAAGTGAAAAATTAGAGGGGAAATCGGGGTAGGGATTTTACCTATTCAAAAATATCTACCAAATTAGCCGTTGAGATCGTCGGACTACCGGGGTAGGGATTTTACCTATTCACTGCGTTTGACCTATGGATCATCATATGTCACGATGAGGTCAAGATTCCTCCGAATCTAATGGAAGATTTAAACGAAATAAGGCATGATGATGAGGCTTTATTACTTTAATGTTTGAAGCTAGGGTTTTGGATTCTGAGATTTGAATAGGGATGATGAGAATGGGAAAGTNGGGGAAGGGAGGGAATGATGAAGTTTTGGTTGTCTTCAGTGACCTTGCACTGATTTGTGCAAGGTCTAGGAATGGAAGATGGGTGAGATGATGAGAGAAAAGAGAGAGGAAGGGGAAATGAGTCGGCTGGCATTAGGATAAAATGATTAGGGTTTGAGGGTGTTGACTTAGTTTAAAACGGGAGATCACATAGGGGACGCTGGATCATTTAGATCAACGGCTCTGAATTTTTGAACCAAATGATGAGAGAAAAATATTTATGAGGATAAATCAAGGACTATTGGATCATTCTGATCTAATGGTTGAGATAAATGAGCTGGAGGGTTTAAAATTAAAGGGGAATTTATGATAAATTTGGATCGTTGATGAATTTGATCAACAGTCCTGATGGGTTATGTTTGTTATGTGAGTGGCTTTGGAGGGGTGACATGGTGTAGTGTGATTGGTGAAGATGGAGTGGCGAGGATTGCCAAAGGGGACTGGTAGTGGGCTGATCGGACCGGGTCAGGGGCATTGGGCTAGTCTTTTGGGCCAATTAGTTGGGTATTTGTGTTGAAATAGGAATTTATCTCATGGCCACTTTAATTAAAATCATTATATTGCAATTATAGCCTACTTTAAAGTTTTAATCTCCCTTTTATAATTAAATTAATTAAACTTATTTATTCCTAATAAACATAATAAAATGTCATTAATGGGTGTATTATTATTTAACTAAGCTAATTTTTGTTATAAAATAATTAGAAAAATTAAAATACTCACATATTAAATTATAAAATCTAATTAATGAAAGTAATAAATCTGGTACAATTGTAATTATTTAAGACCAAATTATTATAATTATATAATTAATAATTTGAATTATTATTATACTTATTATTACCTAATATATTATTTATAGTTTAGAAAAATATATACTAACAATTTTAAAGTGCCTTATTACATTATTGTTGATTATTAAGCGTAAAATATTTAATTCAAAAAAAAAGGGAAAGGTCAAAATTGGTCGTCAACAATTGCCCCTCTTTGATCGGTGACGATAAAAGAGTTTGCGGACAAAGAAATTGACTTAATGACTGATTTTGTCCCGACTCTAGGCATATACTGTAGAGACGGTGTATGATATTGTGAGAATCAACGACATATAAGATTACGACCGAATACTGGTTTTGAATCGCCTATATACCTCGAGCTTAATGCGGATCGAGCCGTATGTAGTTCTGGAATGATGATTTGGAGAGAGTTATGCTTGAGGGAATTGCCCCAGTATTGTGTTAAAGCGATACTGCAAGACGGAAAGATTTTGAGACCCAATGACTTCTGGGTTACAGCTTGATTATAGATTTCCTAAGGAATTTGATAATTTGGAGTTCTACTAATCGAATTGAGTTAGAGACTAGATCCTTGGCTCGCTTATGAATCTGTTGTCCCTCATGAGCGATGTTACCTGGTTTGCTGCTTAGAGGAAGTTCCAAGTTGTAGTGTTTAAACCTGCAAAAGGAAGATACACACATACCCATATATTCGAATGCATATGTGTTAGGATATAATGTAAATATGTAGGAATGACAATGCTATCACGCCCCAAAACCGATGAGCGCGACCGGCGCTCAACCGATAGAACCCGACAGAGCAAGACTGTTAGATTTTCTTCTACCCAAACTCATCCATGAATAAAGAGGAGATGTACTCCATTAATTAAACACTGAAAAGATTTTATTAACAACTTCCTTTTCATTCCCATTAGCAGCTTCATTCATAATTTCCAAAATATTACGAGTTCATAGAATTAATGAAAAACATGATTTCCAAATACCAACATTTCTAGTTCAATTCCCCAATATCAACCACAACCCACAACCTATTTACGAATCCTATAAGAACAATAGAAGAGTAATAGGGAAATGCCGGCAACAAGGCCCCGGCTATACCTTAAAATACAGTACGTGAGAAACAAAATATACATGACCCCAAAATGAAGTGGGGCTCACCAAACCAGCTGAAAAGAGTGTACTGCTATCACTGATCAATGCTGGCTGCTGTAGAACCACCTGCATCCATTAAAGATGCAGTGCCCCCGGCAAAAGGGACGTTAGTACTGTCGAATAGCACTAGTATGTATAGCTAAAAGTCCTCTTTCAAAATAGAATGCCCATATAAGAAAAGGCAACACATAGACACAGCAAGTCATAATGAACAATATCCAAATGTCCAGTTAAAACAAAATAATTTTTAAAATACGAACTTCATATACAACTTTTGTTTGGGAGATCATCATCAGCACCGATATTCCACCGTCTTTGTTAGCACGGAGTCCGATCACACCCGATCGGCTAGGCCATCTCCCCACGGACAATGTGGTTTGACAGGTGATGCGAAAGAAAGTTGTTACCAAGAGTAGTACCACCATGTGCGCAGCATGGAGTCCGATCTCCACCCGATCAGCTAGGTTGTCTTCCCACATATGCCATGTGGGTTGACTTTTCCAATCTACAAAGGTTCCAGTTCATCCCAATTAAGGGGAATAATATCATAATTTCATCCCAAATAAGGGGAATAATCATAATCCACCCCTACACCGGCACATGTAGTTTCAGGTGTGGGCGTTATGACCCACCCTTCCTTGGTTTTGCTAATGATGCTCCCAAAAATAATTTTTTTGATTTGATTTGCACATAAAGATAACATAAATACAATTGTACTCACCTCAACATATTTCACATTGTATAAATTCTCATTAGTATTTTCACTCATTCATAATGACAATATTTCCTTAGCTCATTTGGCCATTCATAAGATTCTTTATTCCTAGCACGATGGCCGTATTTCATATTCCACACTTTTACCCCTTTCAATTTCAAAGATCACCATCAAATATCAATATATAGAAAATTTTATAAATCATATACTTCAAATCCATTTGAAATGGGAACTTCAAACATAAAAGGTTTTTTCCCAAAGAATGAGGTATACCAACCAACAATAGAAACACACATGAAAAAAATCATAAGCAATCAATACACCATTTTCTCTTTCAATACTCTTCCCTAGAAATGACAATGTATAATTTCAACACACCTTAAACATATACTTTTCATTTCAAAATAATGTGGTTCTATCCTATGGGTCTCCTTTAATACTCTAACACGTTATTCCCAAATACCGTTGGCGTACTTATATTAAATCGTTAAAAAAAATTTCTGGGGCCTTACATTCTCCCCCGCTTAGGATCATTCGTCCTCGAATGAGGAGTAGTGTCCGTCCCAAATACTTAACATAATTTATCTTTTTTCTCACATACCTCAAGTCCCCAAATTTGACTAACTCCCAAATTATTTTTCAGAAAATTTGGCAGAGTCTCCTCTGTATTTGGGCCTAACCACCTGCCAGAGTAACACCAAATTCACCCTAACAACACTTTCATAACTCGACAAAGCATCTCAATATATATCAACAACATTAATCTCAACATTACATGCATCATATTATCAAGAGTGATATCTGGACATGAGTTGCACATATTTAAATCATAACACATATAAAGTGCCTTTCGATCCACAATCATTTGACTATACACTCAAGTGAAAACATTTTATTTTCTTAACACTTTTGGACCTCAAGGTGGCCTCCTCGACTTATAGACTTCATCATAATACATTAACAGCTCAACTCTCGAACTTATCTAACAATGATGGCAAATAGATACCCCTCATAATCCAATTATCTATTAACTTCATCTTCACTAGCTTTTACCGGAACGATAGACAAAAGATTTACAACTACCTTAATAGACATAGACACATGATACACCGGGTACACGGAGGACAATAATATGGAATATATCATACTCATAGTTTGGCCTATTTCCTTCAAGATTTCATAAGGCCTAATGTGATTACACATACTTTACCTTTATTAACAATTCACATAGCATCCCCATGGAGAAAATATTGAGAATAACACGTTCACTTTTTTCAACTCTAAATCTCTACGCCGAACACCCAAACTAAACCTTTGACAACCTTCAACAAATACTCTAAGATGTGCTAGCTTGAATATGACCATAAAACTTCCTATCCATTATATTTGATCACTGGATGATGATGCTTCTTTGACATATTTGAACCTTCAACCCCCATAGGTTACTATAAATAGGAACAAGGAGGTTTGAGATTGGGCTGGAATTATTCAAGAATCCATCAACGTACTGAGAAGGGTATTTCAGGAAGTTATATCCTAAGAGACATGAAGGATACTACCAATAGTACTAACATAATTAATCATTGTGATGACATCATAAATTTGACAAATAAGGCATAAATTTGCCTATACACATTAATACTGTGGAAACATGTACATGATCCGGAGATGTAAAAGAAGTGCGTCCTTTTAGACATATGACATATGGGAGGCATACTCGGGAGGATAAATACATTAGCATCCGTCATTCTTGGATGACTATGAGTTATGAAAGGGACAATAACAATTGTTTCATTCCATATGTGCCTTGTTCGGCAATAGTAGGCCTCAAAGAGAAATAGCCAAGTAGGTGATACCGGTCGCCTCTTAGAATGTAGGAAAAATCAGTTTAACTCAAAAATAAGAATAATCTGGCACCCTGAATGTGATATGGGTTTCAAAATATATGTAGTTGCCACAAGCCCATGAGGTTGAAAAAGAAGTTGAACACATGCGAGATTATTATCATTCTGATAGCTTAACCTTTGCAAATAGTTGATCCTATATGAGAGGACTAGAGATACGACAAACTTGCCTTTCAAATCAATATGCTCATGATATGTGCCAAAATCTGAAAGCATCTAATTTCAACCTTTCATGAGTGAAACCACATAGCTAGGACATCGTAATATTTGCGTGAAATCATGTATTGGCTAGATAGAGTGAACACTTTGCTATGAGCTAGACATGTTTCTACCATAACAACTATCAAGCTGCCATATCAGGCCACTTCACGGGCAACTACAATACTAGG